TTGAGATCTAGGTTTTGTCTTGGGCTCTTGGCTTCGCCGGAGACTTTGGGAGAGTACGTTCTTCCTCTCGAATTGAAGAACAAATTGTATCTTGCTATTTGTTTCGTCTACTAGTAAAAATACAAGTCTTTGCTTGCGTTGTCTCCCAATATTCTCGCAATATTCACTGTTTTTCCTGCGCATAGTTGCTGTCCACTGTTGGAGACAGCAGTTTTTCTCCTTGTTCGGCTTCAGTTTTGGGTTAGGAACTACTTGAAATCAAGTATTTCCTATCAAAAACTTATTGTTCCTTTTGGAAACAATGGACGTGGATAATTTGAAGCGCTTGCATGAATATCTGTTGAAAGAACTCCTTCACTGCTTACTCATTTATGATAGCCATTTTACAAGGAACTAAGCATAAAATATTGCTGGGGATTGAAGATGATAAAGAGATGATTGAATTATTAGTAAATCTCCAGTAGTCCTAAAAAGTTCATTGAGATGGACTCCCAGGGATAGCTAAATACTAAAAGAGGTTGGCAGATGCCCGCCTTTTTGTTTGAAGGCTTCAAAATACTACCAAAAATAAAACCTTGCACGAACTACTGCACATCTAAGCGAATTGTTTTTCAATAAACATAACTCTTCAAATATTGTATTGGTTGATGATCTATGGGTAAGATCATCTCCTTTCCTGGTAAATAGGGTATCCAACATCTCATCACTTGATTCAAGGAAAACAATTCCTGTCATAGACTAGAGCATAACATCAGGATTGTGATAGGAAGTACTTGTAGATCTCAAGTATTTCCTATCAATCTTCGGAAATCAGCGAGCTTCTTTCCCTATCAATCTTCGGAAATCAGCGAGCTTCTACACCAACATCCCGCAAAAAAAAAAAAAAACACGAAAACAGTAGATAATTTGTATTATTTGATGAAAGGGAAATGGAAAATAGCAAGATAAAGTTGATCCTCTATTCGAGAGGAGATTCGACCTCTCCAAAATCTCTAGATGCCGCTAGAGCCCAAAAGAAAACCTAAATCTAAGAGATCTCAAATTTCAGCCAAATTCAAGATGCCCTAATCCTAGGAAAACAAAGTATTTAATGCATATAAATATAAAGGAAATCTCTAAGTAGTCCCTACAATTAATTTCCCTCCTAAACTTCCTCAAAATTCCTTCCTAAAATAGCTCCCGTGGACTTGCGGCTCGCGCGACATCCGTACGAGGCGGAAAAGCTCCGTAGTTTCGTCCTTAAGCTGGTCCCGTCTGGACCGTCCAGTGGACTGGTCTAACAGATTGAAAATCATCCTCACACAAGAATTACAAATTTTAAAGCAAAAAGGATTTCAATCTAGCTTTGTTGGTCCCTTCATTGAATATTTCCAACATATGCTCAAGTCAAGGCCAAGAAACTCCACCTTCTAAAGATGCCTCGTTCGACACCTCTACATCTTCAGAAAGCAATGAGATTCAAATCAAGACAACTATCTTTTCAAAATTGCATGTTCAGTCAATCCAAGAAGATTCATGAAGATTGCAACCAACCGAAGACCACCCTCTTTCCTTTTTTATCATGGCCGACTTTGACTTTTGCACATTGTTCTATATAATTCTAATTTAGTTTGCTATATATTAAATCTCTTTTTTTAAGAATTGAATAAATGAATTGAAGTTTGACTTTGCTTGATGGATTCATCCTCAAGGTCTATGATGACCTCTGTCACCTTTTATTTGTATTTTTTTAAACTCTGAACCACCAAACCCGAGTCTTTGTCTCTTCATAAAGCCACAAAATAATGCCAGCACAAATCAAAATCCTCGAATTCCCTCCAATCTCAACCTTGACAAAACTCCTTCAAAAACCAGGCAAATTGGAAATTAAATTTCTCTTGGAATCTTGCAGGCATCCTTATTTGCTTCTCCTGGATCATCAAAAGGAGGCCATCACATGGAATACGAGTGTAATCTAGAAAATACCATCACATGAACGCTAAAAGTTCTTTAGAGCACTTGGGTTTCATAATTCAACTGCAAACAGTTGCGACATAAGACTTTATATAAACTACGGACAAAGTATAAACCATCTACTTACATATAAATAAAAATGGTGGTGATAGGAAATACTTAAGTTCGCAAGTAACCCTAATGGGAATACTTGAGTTCACAAGCAAACCTAACAATAATCGGTAAAATCAGCGAGAAAAATAGAAGAATTTGGGTGGAAACAAACAAAATCAGTAGATAATTTTATAGAAATCAAAGCGAAGCAAGACGAAACAAAGATACAATTGATCCTCAATTCGAGAGGAGGATCGTTCTCTCCCAATCTCTAGACGAGAAGCCTAGAGCCCAAGACACCAAAGAGCACTCCAAGAGAAACAATAATCATGCATAACCCTAACCCTAGCCTCCCTCTTCCATTTAATACATAGTTCCTAATACAAAGCCAATAAAAGCTTTCCTAGAATAAATCAAATTCAAATCTAATTCAAAAGGATTTCTCTAATTGCTGCCCGCCTCCTTTACTCTCTCTAAATCCCGCCCAAAGTGGGCCCCTCAATCCCCACGTAAGGAGGCAGCTTAGCCCGCCTCCTGTATACATAAACCGGCCCAGCCGGGTCCGCTTTGGGCGGTTCACGAAGAACCGTATCAGGTGGATACCTCATTTCGCTCCATCCTGCAACTATGATTTGATGAAGATATAAAGAATTGTTTAAAAGAAAACAATTATTTGAAATAAAATTGTGGTGGTGATGATTTAGGCCAATCCCTTCGTCGAATGTTTGGTGTGATGTATCACTTTGGTACTACAACTTCTGCCATACAGCAATCTGACTGCACAAGTTATCATCTTCATAAGTGCAGAGTTAAACCATCAACTTACAAAAAACATATAGGAAGACTCAAGTAGTATTCACATTGGCAGAAAATGACTACAAACAGTGGTTCTGAGGTACACGTGACAAGCAAATTATAAAGAAATTAGAACAAGCAGAATGTATACATTAGATGAAAGCTCATTAATAGGAAGGAACGCCTTAATTCAGTATGTAAATGTATACATTAGATGAAAGATGATAACGATGAAGGAAAGCCTCAAATTGGTAGGTAAGTTAGCTTTCATAGATTGAAAATTATCATCATTAGTATTGGATTCAAATTTATTCGTGAGTAATACCTTACTCTACTAACAAGTCCGGCAAGATAGAGTAAAAATCAAGAGGGAGAGTAAGGGGCTCTTTAGTTTGATGAAAAGTGAGTATAACCATGCAAGGGTTTTAAAGTTTTAGATGAAAAAAGACTTCAAAATAATTTTTATAAATTTCAAATTCACTCACTAAGTGGTTCATTTTTTATGAATTTAAAAATCATCCATTTTTGGACAAATTCCAAAATACCTGCAAGCTAACTATGCTTTTGTTGCCGGCTGCAAGTGCTATACACCACTTCTGCTATTGCCGGTCACTAGCTACCGCTTGCTGGACACCAGTTGTCGCTACCACCGACTATCGCCATCGTTGAGCTTTAAACTATATTTATTTTACTTCAAACTACATAAAAAAAGTAATTAATTGCATTTGTTTTACATTCATCCAAATAACTCAAAATATTCCAACTAAATTTCAATTTACTTTGCATTCTTTTCGCAGCTAAACAAATGCCCCCCTAAATGTATGAAGAAGAACAAATGTGTTAGATAATCTCTGCAAATAATGAAAATGGCATGAATTTATAAGGTTAAGAGGGCTAAATAAAATACTACGCATAAAAGGAAAAAAAATAATACATATTTGCCAAGTACATACTAGAATAGACATATGGACTAAGCCAAATTTTCTACACATGACTATCAACTTTGACATGGCTTTGAATGTCTCTGGCGAGTACCCTAGGTGGGTTGCGAGTTAAATGTGGCGAGTGTTCTGGGCAACTCCTCAAAGGCAAGTGCCATGGATAAGTAGTGAGTTGCTCGGGGTGAGTGACGAGTCTTCTAGGCAAGTATTCCATGCAAGTGGCTATAAGTTGGGTAAGAACATAGTTGTGGGAGCCATAATTGCGGATTTTGTAGGTGTGTGCTTCATGTAGATTGGATAGGGATATCTTTGGAAAGCATACATCATTGATTGGGGAGAGCAACTGAGTGCTACTTCAAGTGAAGGCTTACAGAGACGAGTTCATTGGTCAAACTAGCTTACAATATGTGCCTCCTTGATCGGGCTCCTTGGGAGCACGCTTTTATAATGCGAGTCTTATTGGCTGAGTACCTGCCTGTCTTTGACCATGCTCCGACGAGTGCTCCTCAAAGTGAGGCTCATTTTGGGTGAGAGTGCCTTTGGACTGAGCTCCCCAAGAGTGGAGATGCTTAGTACCTATGAGTTACCTATATTAGCATATATAGACATACAATTAGCCTTTTACCAAATATTTCGGTTTGACCAACATAGATTGAATAAATAATACTCCACTGAATGAAATTAAATGAAATAAAGGAAATTAAACATCAAATTAAACTAGTTCAACATAAGTCAACAAACTATAAGGGCTTCATTATGCTTATCCTTTTAAAATAAGCAGCATACATCCTAAGGCATCCTATTTATAGGAGGATGAACCAAAGAGATACATTAACAGCCTTGTCAAACGAACATATATACAACTAAAAAATAACAAAAAAATGTTTACTACATAGGAATAAGGCCAGTAAATTAGTTTGTTCTATGACGTTCAACAACTCAAAAGGTTTGATCAAGCATAATTCCAAAGGATGATATTCCCAACTCTCACGTAAATTGTACAATAGATGTCAGCCTATTCATGAATGAATTAAGCAACTTGGAGTAGGAGAGGTGGAAAAGAATTACTTGAATCGATGAGAATCGGCCCCAGAACTTGCACCCTGGGAAGCACATATATGATAGAGGACTTCAGTGAACTAAATAACGGACATCACATAACAGTCCTTAGAACCTCAAGAATCGACATTCTTCTCCTGTTTCGTATTTCCTTTAGGCCTTCTGAGGGAATTTTTTATCAGAGAAGTGTAAGTTGCAAAATCTGAAACCATTCCTATTTCACCACTTATCATCTCACGATCTACTTCTCCAAGCTTGCAATGTCCATCCAAGAGAGTATTATAGGTAACATCATCAGGGACAACACCAACATTAAGCATAGCATTAAGAAGCACATTGGCATTTTTCATCTGCCCAAGCTTGCACAGCCCATTCATGATGATATTGTATGTGACAACTCCTGGTTTAAGACCCTTACTTTGCATCTCACGCAGCAACTTAAAACCTGCCCTGACCTCTCCTTTCTTACACAAAGCATCAATGACCAAATTATATGTTATCTCATGAGGATCTATGCCAGTACTCATCATCTCATGCAAGATCATCTCTGCCTCTACCACCCACCCTTCTCTACTCAATCCTGATATAAGTGCTGTGTAGGTCACCTCATCCAGCTCAACCCCTTCGACTACCATCTTTCGTTTGGTCTCAAGTGCCATATGTAAATCCCCTTTCTTGCAACACCCATCAATAAGAGTTGTATATGTTACCTTGTCTGGCTTGAAACCCCTTCTCTTCATCTCCTCCATAATCTTCTCGACCTCTAATAAATCCCCATTCTTGCAATGCCCATTCACAAGAGCATTGAAAGTGATCAAATCTGGTTCAACTCCTTTCCTCGTCATCTCCTTATAAATGTCCATTCCTACCCCCACCTTCCCATCCTTGCAATGCCCATCAATCAGACAAGTGAAACAAACTTTATTAGGTACAAGATCTCTGTCACACATTTCCTCAAACATCTTCGTGGCATCTAACAACTTTCCCGCCACACAAAACGCTCGAATCAAAATTGAGTAAGTGAACACATCCTCTGTAATTCCAGCGTGCTTCATGATACCCTTCATTTCCAACCCCAAATCTAAGCTGCCACATTTACAATAACCGTTGATTAAAGTGTTGAAAGTAACTGCATTATACTGCAAACTATGATTAGGAATTTCATCAAACACCTGATGGGCATTACTAAGCTTCCCCTCCTTGCAAAACCTATGAATCAAAACATTGAAATCTTGGATTTTTACAGAAACCCCTGCATTCACAGTCTCCATCAAGAACGCATGGGCCTTGTCAGCCGCAGGGAGACGGCGGAGGAGGACCGAACAAGCAGATAAAGGGAGCCGCATAAAACGGTGGCGCGCAAAGCGGAAGCACTGGATGGCATCGTCGAAGAAGCCCGCATCGGCGTACGCAGACATGATGGAGTCCAGGAGGACAGGGTGGAGGGGACCCGGAGAGGAAGCGGTGGTGGCGAAGGAGAGAATGGAGGAAGCGGAGGAGTGGCCTGTACGGGAGACGAGGAAACGGAGAAGAGGGGCAGCAACAGAAGGGAGACGGTGGCGGAGAAGGAAGAGGGACATGGAAATGTAGGAGAGCGGGGTATGGATGAAGTGGGGGGCTCCATGCGAGGATAGGTGGTGGAAGAAAGAGATGAGGGAGGATGGGGGGAGGGAGAGGGGATTGAGGGATAGAAGGGAAGAGAAGAGTGAGGGGGTGAGGGAAGGGAGGAGGGGTTTGAGGGAGATGGAGAGAGGGGTTTGAGGGGAGTTTTTGATGGCGAGAGATATAGAGATGAGGAGAGAGTGCTGGGGTTGAGGAGGTGATCGTGAAAAGCAGGTAGATGCAGGAGAAGAGGGGCGTGTGGCACAGAAAGTGAACGGACCGTTTGGGTTCGTCATTTGAATGAACAATGGATAGGCAGCCGTTGCCGCCTGTGTAAGTTTATTAGATTTTCTCACTAAGAAAAATTACGGCCTTTTCAATTATAATTTTATGTAGACTTACATCATATTCATATATAATAGTAATACACATTAAATAATAAAGAGATTTCTTTGAGTACATTTTTATATAAATCTCATCAAAATAAATTTGAATATTTTCTTATTTTATGTTAATATTAATACAATAAATGAGATCAAACAACAACAATTATATGCTAAAAGATTAATGTCATGATTATTCGACAAGTTTTATACTTGTTGTCAACTACGTAATACGACATTTTATTTTTTTCACACAAGACTTTGAACCTAACAACGACCGTGTTAATAGCATCAATGTTGTCAGTATTAGGATATTATAAATTCTGATTCAAGAGAGCATAAATTTAAGCCTGCCATTTGAATTTTGAGATAGTCTAGAAGAATAGAAGTAGGCTTCGTTTGGGAAGGCTTTTTATTATTTATTAAAATGACTTTTTAGTATCAAAATTAAAATTTTTGTTCAAACATGCCGCTTTAAGAAATAATAAATAAGTTGTACCAAACGAAACCTTAGCATATGATTTGACTAAGCAGATAAATTTAGAGGCCAAACAAGCACAATAAATCAAAAAGAATTCTTTATAAGTTATTCATTTCAAATAATTTTTTTTCTTTTAAAAATAGATGATTAATAAATAATAAAATTATATAAAAAAAAAACATTGATACGTCGTCAAAAATTCATCTTAATCAGGGGCCGCGAATCTCGATGCAAATCAAGTTGGAAAACTTCAAAATTATATCGGAGACAATCTGAACTCCGATTTCAGCAAACTTATAGTCGAACTGAGCGTCTCGGAAATACGAACCCAACGACACCAATTCGACTCAATCCGAGTCCAAATGGACCAAATCACAGGACCCAAAGCGTGTGATAGGTTCAACCACAAATTGGATTACCAAACGGTTTTTCAAACATAACAAGCTTATACTTGAATCGAGCGGTCGACGAGACGTCCAACGACCAAAGATTGAGGAATTCCGACATCATTAAGGTCTTCAAATGTCTCAAAGAACGTGTATGATCAAGGGATTCACATCGGCCGTGTCATCCGACACTCCCATTTCACCTTTCTCTCACCTATTTTCGACCATGCCACTCCATAAATCTATAATAGAGCTTCCTCTCTCTTGAAAAGGGATCTCTAAGCCTAAGGAAAAAAGCGAGAGATCGGAGATCGCTCTTGCTTCCTTGCCTCCTCGACCACCCCGGACTTCCACCGGACCACACCTGACTCCCTATGCTCGCGGACCACCACTTGAGGCCCTCACCTCCGCCGGACCACCGCCTGACGCCGTTTCTTCCGCGAACCACACTTGAGGCTCACCTTCGTCGGACCACCGTCCTGACGCCGTTGCTCTGCCGACCACCACTTGAGGCCCTCACCTCCGCCGGACACCGCCTGACGCCGTTGCTCCGTTGGACACCACCTAGGCTCGAACTTCTTCCGGACCACCACTTGAGGCCCTCACCTCTGCCGGACCACCACCTGACGTCGTTGCTCTGCCGGACCACCACTTGAGGCCCTCACCTCCGCCGGACCACCGCCTGACGCCGTTGCTCCGCCGGACCACCACCTGAGGCCCGAACTTCATCCGGACTCCACTTGAGCCCTCACCTCACCGGATCACCGCTTGACACGCATTGCAGCCGCCTGACGTCATTGCTCCATCCTGAGGCCAGACTTCTTCCGAACCACTACTTGAAGCCCTCACTCCGCCGGATCACCGCCTGACGTCGTTGCTCCGGCCGGACAACACTTGAGCCTGAATTCTGTCAGACCACCACTTAAGACCCGGACTCCGCTGGACAACCATCTTACACCCTAATTTCTACCGAAGTATCTCCCTGTCGACTACGGTCCTCCCGGACCTCCGTTGCCCATTACGTCCATTCCAACCTCCATCATAGACAACGGTCTTTCTGACCCAGTCTACCTATACCGCGACTACGGTCCTCTCGACCTCCGTCGTCTACTATGCTCACTCCGACCTCCATCACAAAAAAATGGGAGCTTTCTTACCTCCGGTCATCCTTCAACAACGTCTTTCAGACCAGACTGGTCTCCTCGCCCAACAACGGTCTTTCAGATCCGGTACTCCTGCCTAGAGCGTACAGTCCTTCTGACCTCTGTCTCTTTGCTCGACAATGATCCCTTCCAACCAAACAAACATGTCTAGTTTGATTATTGTAAACTTCCCACCCGAGCTGTAATGACGTTCTTCTATATGGACGTACTATTTGTACATCAAGCTAAGGCCTCTCTCTAAGAAGCGGTCTCACTCAAATTTGTAAATCGATTGTCAAATACTAGATGGATATCATTCAACACTGGGCTTAGACGCGCCATATGGTTTTTCCCCTCTTTTAAGGTTTTCCACGTAAAAAATCTTGGTTTCTTCATAAATGTTACAGACCCTACTCTCACTTATCTGCTTGTGTGCTGGCATCTTCGAACTACAACGCTTGAGCGGCATTTAAACTATATATTTTCTGCTACCGTCCAGCGAATATTCACAGAGACGCAACAACATCATGACATAAATTCAAATGCAGACTTAATAAGTTCAATTGAATTTTTA